GGTTTGCCTCAAAACAAGAAAAGTTCTATTGGGACAGTATCCACAAATTACCTGAAAGGTGGGGGAATGAGTAGCTAATGATGGAAATTACTTTGAATAAAGCACTTTTGATGTTTTTCTTGAAATAATTGTGTTTTCTATGATTAGAAAGTCTGCATTATTAACTGGTAAATGTTCAATTTGCATTATTAACCAGTACAACTGATAGTAACATCAGTATTGGCTACAGAAAGGCACGGGGGAGCATGTGGTTGCAGTGTATGGCTTGCTGCGTCCTTGCCTTGCACCTGCGTATAGCAACTCAACCTTGAACACTTTGATTAGGATTCAAACACTCAGAGTGGCCTTAAACATCCAGCATGCTCTAGACATTGCCCCACAATAAGAAACATATATTTTCTCTTTTCCTTTCTTTCTTTCTTCTTTCTTTCTTTTTTTTAATACAGAGAGAAAAGGAGAGGGAGAGAGAGATAGAACCATCAATGATGAGAAGGAATCATTGATCAGCAGCCGCCTACATATCCCCTACTGGGGATCAAGCCTGCAACCCAGGCATGTGCCTTAATCGGGAATCGAACCATGACCTCCTCCTTCATAGGTTGATGCTCAACCACTGAAGCATGCAGGCCGGGCATGAGTAACATTTTTAATAATACATTTTCCTCCCATCAGAATGTAATCACTCTTTTTCAAACAAAGCATATTTGCTGAGTGACTAAAAGATTAAATTCCGCCTGCACAGCTGTAGGGAGTATCCAACAGTGTAGACTCAAGCACACATATTTGACCAAATTATACCAATTTAAGCAAAATATCTTCATCTTATATTATTCTCCAACGATTTTATTTGATTCTAGAAAAACATTGGTATTTCAGTTCAGTGGTTGCCAACGGGTGGTCTGAGAATGAAATGTGGACACGGAGGTCTGAAGGTTTGGCGACCGCTATATTAGTCCTTCCGTTTTCTTATTACATCAAAAATGTATGCCCCGTGTTGTCCCTTATTCATCAGGAGAAATTCAGACCTTGCTGAAATTTACATTTATAAGCAAGCTCTTTGGTTTCAGGTTCAGCTAAATAATAATTGGTTCACATTATGTCTTGTTGTTTCTTTCCCTGATTGGATTGAAGCTAATTCCTCAGTGTGGTGATGGTGGTGAAGTCGGATGCCAGTGAGACACAGTGAGAAAAGGGAACAGACACATGTATTTAAAAATGTTTTGAGTTGCCCTCGCCGGTTTGGCTCAGTGGATAGAGCATCAGCCTGTGGACTGAAGGGTCCCGAGTTATATTCCGGCCAAAGGCACATGCCCAGGTTGCAGGCTCAATCACCAGATGGGGGCATGCAGGAGGCAACCAATCAATGAATGATTCTCTCTCATCCTTGATGTTTCTATCTCTCTCTCCATCCTCCTTATCTCTGAAATTAAAGAAAAATTAAAAACATAAACAAATATTGAATGAATGCAATGATTAAAAGGGGAAATGTGAGTTAAGTAAAATCTATATGTTGATAAATAAATAGGTATGTTAAATATTCGTTGCAATTTGTTGTTCACTTAACTCTGAATATTTTATGAATAAAATCAAAAGATTAAAATATTTAAATCACTGGACCTTTCACAACAATTTTTTTTCATTTCAGTGTAGAGTTATTAATCTTTATATCTATTTCCTGCCCCTCTGCATGCTTGTGAGGTGTGTGAAGAAAAGGAAGGTTGTTAGTCAAGAAGATGGCTTCTCCCTTGGACAGTGGAGTAGGTGTGCCCAAAACCACTTCCTCATAATTGCGTTTCATGAACAAACCAACAACCATACTTTATTTTCAAGTTCAATGCTTTATTAGAAGGTGAACAGATAGTCCAATCAGTTCTGACACCAAACGTAGAGGATCCTGGTCTAT